TCCTGAATGGGTTTCTGACTTGCCGTCTGGTCAGCTTAATTTCATTTGGTAATATACAGCCATTCCTGCATTTCAGACATTCCAAAAAAAGTTGCTTCGGGGGCAGTTTAGGGCTAGTAATGAGGTTAAAAATAATGATGTCATTTCAAACAGGTGATGTCAACAGGTGATTGTTATCGTGATTTGGTACAAAAGCAGTATCCACGAAAGGCTGAGTGTTTGAGGAGCAAAGATGGCCAGAGGATCTCCAGTTTGTCAACGAATGCATGAGAACATCATTGAAAATTATTCTTTGTTCCTCAAAGAAAGATTGGAAGAGATTTGCATGTTTCTCCCTTGACAGTGCATAATATCATTAACCGATTCAAGGAATATGGAGGAATTTCAGGGCGCAAGCCTAAGCTGAACACCTGTGATCTCCAACCTCTCAGACGGCACTGCATCAAGAACCGTCATTCATCAATAGCTGATATAACCACATGGGCAAGGGATTTCTTTGGCAAACCTTTGTCAAGCTCTACAATATAGAGCTACAGTCACAACTTACAACTTTACTGTGCAAAAAAGAAGCCTTATGTTAACCATGTCCAGAAGCGGCATTGACTTCTCTGGGCTCTGAGGCATCTGGGATGGACCTTCACACAGCAGAAACGTGTATTGTGGTCAGAGGAATCAGTATTGCAGATCTTTTTTGGAAGAAACGGACATTGTGTGTTCTGGACCAAAGATGAAAAAGACCATTTGGTCTGTTATCAGCAAAAAATCCAAAAGCCGGGGTTTGGGGTTGTGTCAGTGCCCTTGGCAAAGGTCATTTACATTTCTGTGATGGCACCATTAATGCAGAAAAGTACACTGAGATTTTAAAGCAACATACATGTCAAGACATCTTTTCCTGGGATAAGCATGCATTTTTCAACAAGACAATGCAAAACCACATTCTGCAGGCATTACACAGGCACGGCAGCAGAAAAAGAGGGTGCGGATGCTGGACTGGCCTGCCTGCAGTCCTGACGACACGAAAAATGTGGCAACGACGACCCCATATTGTTACACACCTTCAGACATGTTTGCAGGAAGAATGGGACAAAATAACGCCTGAATTACTTCATCGATTGGTATCTGTCACACCGAGCGGGGAAAAGAGGTACGGATCCAGAAATGCGAGGTAGCTGAGCTTTATTGAAACAGGAGTGAGCTCCAGAAGGAGAGCGCAGCCCTCTGGGAGACCGGAGCGGCTGTACCCGGTAAGTCAGCCTCTCTATAGGTAGTCCTCAGGCAGACGGGTTTGAAATCGGCAAGCAGGGATCGTTGTCGTCGTACGGGTGCGTGGGTCGTAATCCGGAAGGTCAGTCCAACGAAGAAGCACGGGACTGGACGACAAGAGGGAAGGAGGACAGGAGGCGCCGGGCTCAACGAGGTAGAAGGATCAGGAACGGGAACGGGACTGAGGAGGGAAGACACAGGAGGCAAGGGTTCAACAAAAGATGAATTGGAAAGGTATGTGACGGAGACGGAGGACAGAAAACTGCTTGGTCTGGCGTCTTTTCATCAGCTCAATACTTCGCGATTAGCTGGAGTTAGAGCTTCTCTTTTAAAGAAGAGCTAATCGTCAGGTGCAGGGTGGCATCTGCTCGACCCCGCCCCGTGGGCGTGACAGTATCCTCAGTGCCAAAATATCTTTTAAGTGTTGTGAGAAGAAATGGCAACATTACAGAGTGGTAAATGCTTTACCTTCCCAACTTTTTTTGGCCTGAAATGCAGGAATGCATGTATATTAAGAAATGAAATTTAGTTGACCAGACAAAACATGAAATATCTTGGGTTCATACTGTCTGTAATGAAATGAAAGTCAAAGTAAATTTAAGAATCACTGTGTTTTTCTTTTCTTTGCATTTTCCATACCAACTTTTTCTGATTTGGGGTTGTAAATAAAGAAAATGTCCACTGTTAAAATAATCATTAGCCAATATTAAGAAAAGTAAATAATGCAAGCAAATTTAAAAAATCCATTCCATTCTGTAACCTGACTGAAATGACATTTAACAGGTTTTAAATATACATATGCTTGCAGTCCAGCATAAACTATTAAATATTTAAATTGGCTAAGATAAATGAGATTCTTATGCTAATGATAGGATGTTAACATGATAAATTGGTTAATAAACTAACCAGAATCCAATAATTTAATCAACATTTTAACATATCACCCAAACTTCTCAATCAAATAAACAGCAGACACTTTTGAGTG